GCCGCCGCCACCGCGTCGGCCGACAGCCCCTCGCCCCCCTCGCCCGCGAGCTGCCGGGTGAGCTTGGAGGGCCGCGTGAAGATGCCCTGCAGGGGCTGGCACTCGAAGTAGCGGACGCCGCCCACCGAGCCGTCGTTCTTGCCCACCGGCTCGTTCAGCACCACGCCTGCCCACTGGCCCGGGGCGAACTGGGTCTCCCCCAGATAGTGGATGACGCCCGGCTTCACTCCGTTCACCCACACCCGCTCGCCGACCACAAAGTCGCCCAGCACGTCATCGCCAACCTCTGGCACCTTGGAGCCCGGTTTCTCAGCGGCACTGCCTGACGTCACCGCCGCCTGTTTGTGAGGGGGGCCTAGGGAAAAAACAGACAGGGAGCATTAAGATATAAGATCTCATAATGAACCTGGGTCTCCTGTGTAATCCCACTCCAGCAAGTGCTAGATTTCCAAGCGTCACTGTAATTCTGAACATGAAATATCTTTGTATGCCTCATTAAAATACTATTTGTGACCTCGAAGCTAAACTCACATGGATCATATGGCAGGATACAGAGTGCGAAAATGTCATTTTTCTGTTCCCTTCAGTATAATGAATGCTCACATGGAAACATATTTCAACCTCTTCATCTGCAGTATCTCAGAATCTGACCCAGATAGACTCATCTGCTGGTTTAAAGCTGCCACATCTAGCAAAACCAAATCAACACATTTCAAGCACCCCATACTAAAGAGCAAGGAACTGTATGACAGATGTCTTTGAATTTTTAATATACAGAAAGAGCATTCTCCAGGTGTGAGGTCTGAGAAGAAAGAGCTTTTCATAAACTGAGAGTATAACAAATACAGGGCCTCTGGCCTCTGATGCTGCAGACATTTCTCCTCCTCAAACTACTGGACATTGTGATCACTGAAGGCTAGTGTTCAAACTGTTACTACTGTTGTTGCCAGAATATTGTCCTTCCCAACCTCACATAATATCCGTGAAGGAAGACAATTATAACTTGAAACTTGTAAGAATTTATATGTAATTTATACAAAAGAATCTCTAATCTGACAAACATCTGAAGAAGGATTAACAGCTGAAATGTTGTTTCTCAATTCTATTATTCATAGTGGACTAAACCTTTACCTACTCCTTTGCAGGAAAAGAATGCTGACACAGGCCCCCACTTAAACATTCTTAATTAAAGTTGACTTTTATGGCCCAGACACCAGGTCATAAGGTCAAGCCTAGGTACTGTCACTAGGCAGCTGTGACTGGGATTGCCCAAGCTATAGCACAGGAGGAGTGCTGGGATTGGCCGGACAGAGCTCTCCTGGCTAAACAGATGGCCAGGGCCTGCAGCAATGCCACTAACTGTCCTGTACGGCACCATGACACGAGGGAGGCAGGTCAGAGACATACAGTAAAAAACAACTGACCACTAGAAATTAAGTGGCTCTAATGAAAAATAGAAAATGTTGTTCTGAAAAAAATGATGACGGGTCATTTTTTCAGTCAACGATGGACAAAGCACATCACTGTAGCAAAGATTACAATAAGAAATAAACCATTTGTGTGGATGGTATCTGAATGTCTAAGACTCCCCGCCAGTTCACACTACGCACGCGTGGTCACCTATTGTACAGCAGTGGTGTGAATTTGGAGCACTTTAAAAATAATGATAAAATGTTGTGAATGGAAAAGGGGAAGACAGTTCACAACAGGAGAGACAGTGCCCAAATCCCGACGCTGGTGTGTTTCAAAAAGGTAACATTTTTATGAAGACAGCCATGCACGAACTGGAGGAAGAGGTCGTTCCAGAGCCATGTGGTGAAGGCGAAAGCTCGGCCTATCTGAGATCCAGCACGGCGGCCTTGGCCGCGCGCCATGGTGACTAGGCCGCTCGCCGCAGTACAGCGGGGCCCTCTGGACGCCCCGGCCGAGCCTGGACGAGCTGAATGCTGGCGCAGCACTCGCGCCTGGGCGGGGTTGCCATGGCGACAGGAGGAGCAGGAAAAGGAGCCGCGCGCGAAGGAGAACACAGGCCCCATTTTCTAATTGTGCCCGGCCGCCTCCCACCAGCGCCGTGCCGTCTGAATTCCACCATTAAAACAGCACACAACAATTTCCCCCAGCTCCTCGGGCAGCCCTGCGTGGAGAAACCGGCCGGGCCGACTTCCTTGAAGAAGAGCGCACTGGCTGTCCGCTGGGAACAAGGCTCAGAGACTCTACCCCCCTCTCTCGCTGCAGAAGTTTGCGTGACTCAACTGTACGTCAACTAATCACTGGCAGATCTAATAGTATTCATTGTAAAGGTCCAAACTCAATCGACCCAGACGGAGTGATTGTTTGACATGACTGGCTTTGATTTCTTTTTAAAAGAAACTGTTAAAGGAGCTAGTTTTTCAGTGATAGAAGGCCACAATTATGTAATATGTGCTTCATATCAGAGGGAAAACAAAGGCACTGGCTTCCTCCAGCTATGTATTTTCTTACACTGTATAATAAGACAAAGAAGAACCTATTAACAGTTTCTGCACTGGGAGACTCTGGATTCGCTCTCCTGGCTTCCCAGAAGCCTGGCCTGTATTTCTATGGAACTCCCAGCTGGTGGGACAGCAGAGGCAGGGAGGGCTGCTTCTGCTCATGCAGTCAAAGCTTTGCTGCAGGGAGAGGGGTCATTACAGCTGTTTTGAGGGACCTTAGAAACCTGGGGTTGAGTAACACGGAAGGGCATGGATGAGGGACTTTGTGTGTTCATGTGAGCTGGGGAATGTCTGTTTTTGTATTAAATAATGTGGCAAATTTAAGAGCTGATAACATTTAAGAAAACGAAAATGTGTTGACCTGAAAGATAACCACATTTTTTATAAAATTGTTATGATGCTATAAATCCTTTTATAATAATTTTAGCAATCCTATCTGTGATCACTCAGATGCCGGAGAATTACAAAATTCATTTAGAAAATGCTTTAGGCATGGTCTAATAACCAGTTGAAACATGGAGGCGAAAGATCACAACATGTTGATTTCACCAGGAGGGCCAAACAGGTCACGTTTTGTGGATTTGTAAGCTAGATAGGTCATTCAGAACAAACAGGGTTTAAAAATAACTCACCCCACATGCAAGAGCACAACATGTAGTTTTAGTCTTGATACAATAGTATATAATCACTGAGGAACAACATCTAACAGGGTGATATTAAAAAGTCTACTGGTTTAATAAGAACTCTTTATTTATTCCCTGAAAATATTTATCTGGGAAATGGAGAGTCTGGAACATACTATAGCCTACAGTTAGCATAATGACAACAAAGACTAAAAGAAAGATTTAGATTTGAAGAGCTAACTTCTAATGAAGACTTACAGTAATGAACTCTCATTATCTCAGTCCCACTAGATTTCAGATGCTTTGGGAACAGTTTCTGACCTACAAATGTTCTTCTGCCCATATAGGAAGATACAACTATGAGATGGAGAAGAGGTATCATTTGTGTGAGGGGAGAACAGGTCTGCTGCATAAAGAAAATTTAAGTCGGTAAAGGCAATCAATATCACCACACAATATGCATTTGAGTTTCTGTCTGAAGCTGCTGGGGAAACTGCTTCAGTATACTCACAGCACACCTTGGGTGTTATTTTTCGTGAATCTGTGTTAAGTTTTTTTTCATATTCAGTTAAACATTGAGTGACACCACATGTAAATGCTTCCAGAAAACTGTCAAAGTTTTTTTCTGTGTCCTGGTAGCAAATCCAAATTTTCTTCTGCTGTGTAATGGAAAGAAAATGTGGGTGAGAATGAGCATTTTCCCAATCCGACATCATCTAGAATTCAGCACTTAAAGAGATTTTGTGGTAAACCCAGGACAAGTAACTGTGGACGTTGTTTTCCAATGAACTGGCTGACCCTTTTAGTCTTTTACATTGCAACGGACACAAAGTGCCCCTTCCAGGCAACACAATGGGGCCTCCTCAGCCGCCGGAGGGTCCAGATGAAACAAGACTTACTCTCTTTCTGTGTTGGTGCGCCTGAAGACGAGCCAGCGGACGACCGTCCGACCGGGCTGGAGTGCTTCGGACCCCGGCCGGGGATCTTCAGCCCGCTGGGCTTCAGCATGCTCATCGCTCGTCTCTGGATACGGGTGCTCAAGAAAATTCCCTACTTCTGGAGGCTTCGGTCAGCATGTCAGGCCTCACGGTGTTGGCCACCCCCCCTCATTGTCACCTGTGGAAACAAGACAACTTGCTCAGGTCTGTCAGTCTCTCCTGGGCTATTTCTTTGAGCCTCATCCACACTAAAACTATACAGCTGTATGGGTTATGTCTCACCATGAATGTCCTCCAGTAAACTTCCTTACACTTACATCGTGCTTTTCTGGACACTCCACTCAAAGGGCTTTACAGGTAGTGGGGACTCTCCAATAACACCAGTGTGCAGCCCCACCTGGATGATGTGACGGACAGATCATGTGCAACAGTGAGAAATCACTTCCCCACTTGAATTCAGGGGGAAATATAGGGTTGTTTGATTCATTAGTCCTAAAGTAGAATTTGGTCAGGACATTAGGCTAGAAATGACCTATGCTATAGGACCTTAAATGTGCACAAGCAGGCAAGTGTCAGTCAAATCTATGTTTTATTCTATATGCACTTACAGTGTATAACAACTAATAACAGACTACTTACTCGTTTTAAATGACCTTGAAATGAATGCGTTTTTCCAGACTTGATTTCCTCCCCTGACAAAGTAACCTCCAGTTACAAGTGATAGCATTGGCACTGCAGTTTCATTATCTCTCTGAAGCAGGGCATTGACTGCAATGCCTGCTCTTCAATTGGACAACTACCAATTTTAGTGCTTCTTGTTGATGAAGTACAATATACACAGTATCATTTCTATCAGAGGTCAAGAGTCAACTATCACCTTGTTACTAGATACAGTACTGTATAACAACCAGGAGAAAAAAACATAAAAAAGAAAAACCTTTTGTTATAAAAACATATTTAAGTTACATATTATATAGCAAACATATTAAAGTTTTACTTTGTGGTCTGCATCTCCAATAAAGTAGATTTTGTGGATCATGTGTAGATTAATTCTGACACATACTGTACAAATATGAAACGTATTTAAAAATACTGATATCTCCTGTGTTTTCTGCTTCCAAACATATTTCTCGGCCATTCTGCTTTTATGATGATCCAATACAACTGATCAAACATTCACAGACAAACCATGATTCAATGATACTCCATCCCTAGAGACACCAAAATCTCTATGTTACTTCTACAACTTTCCTTTAATCTATCACACAGTACTAATTCTATTACTAATTCAGCTGGGTAACCCCGCTGAGTGACATCATTATCATTTATGCTTTCAGCTCTCAGAGATCAGAGAGGGGAAGTCTCTTCTAGTGCATTGTTGTCATTGGGCAAGACTCAAAACGTAAAGCACAACTCTTACTAGAAAAGGGTTAGTTCTCCAGAAGCATTGCTATCCTTGCAGATGAGTATTCTCTGGTGAAGAGTAGCAGTCTGTATCTGGAGTAATTAATCTTCTTACGTTGGTTCCAAACACGAAAGGGCAATATTAAAATACTCAGCAATAGAACTGTGTTTTACCCAATCATTTCTGCATAGCCACAATAAACCTGACATAATGTATGAATAACATTCAAATGAGTTTGGAAATAATGTTTTAAACTCACTGTTTTGCTAAATTCTGCTTGAACTGACTGGACCAAAAAATTAGGAGAAAGCGAAAGGAAGTTTTAAGATCAATGAGTTTCATTCTTATGGCTGGGAAGCAATTGAGAAGTGCCTGCAGTTTTGTTTGGTAGGACACATTGCATTTGGAGATTCAGACATTATCTGTGTTTGTTTGTTTTGTATTGGCCTGTTATTCAAGTTAGCATAACTCAAAAAAAGAGAGAAATGGATTAAAAAGAGGGCCAACAACCCACCCCTTTTAGAATGTCCCAGATAGGGCACTTTGATTATTGAAATGCAGGACTGAATTCTGAACTCATTGTAAATTCACATCCACACCACAAAAAAACAAAACAAAAACTCAGTACAAAAGACAATGATGGTATAATGTTGGCTTCAAGATACCCTACTGTCTCATGTAATAATTAGTTCACAGTTAGTTTTAGTCATTCTTATCACCTCAGTGTTACAGTACATACTAACACAATTGTTTTTAATTGCTATAACCTTTTAATGTTAGTAAAATAAACATCATTGATTAAAATAGCCTTAAAAAGATACAACTTTGTCAACATACTGTACATTGATACTAAAATAAGCAACAACATGTACTGATATGTTGAATGCCGTATGCTGTATCACAAAAGAAACGTTATTGTTTGTTACTTTAACACAATATTTGCAATTGTATGGGCTTCAGGAATTGTTTGGCTGCATTTTCAAACTTTTCTAAAGGAAAAATAATGGTCTAGAGACGCTGAAAGAACTGTTCTGAAAACAATCCCTTGTCAGGAAAATGTTTGTTATAAAGAGCAATCCATAACATTTGTGTTTTTGACAATGTATTCCTTAAACACCAGGTTGCGCCAGAATAACCGAGAGATTTGTTTATTTTAACATCATTTTAGTTTGATAACATACTGCATCTATTTCCTTGTTTAGATCAACAATATTTATCGTTTCAATAATATATTGGACTATGGACCAGCAGTCCTGTTCAAGTCAAAGAAAACAGGAACCGATGACTAAATAGTGTGACAGTTTGTGTTCTATCAACCCCGTGGTTGTCTTTGCTAGAAGGCAAATCCTACCTTTATCAGATTTTCTAGCAAAACGGCACGTTATCGGCCTTCATCAATTTCGGAACATTAGACACGCAGTTTCTTCATTATTCACTGTATGACACGGGTTCTAACGTATTTTACTCGGCAATTCACTGGAAAACTGTGATTCTTACTCCTTAAAATTATATTCACGCCGGGGGATGGGCTGCATACAGTAGATGGCATAAACTAAAATCTACTGTCACTTTACTGTAAGTGCATGAAGGATGACCTGACATCTTTGCGCTCTCTCCGCTTAATTTGGCACATGGCTGTTACAGACATCCAAACAACAAACCAACCTTTCACTAAGAGCCAAGCATTTTAGAGGTTCTCAGTAGAGCTTCCTGTTCGTATTCCCTACAGCAATACATTTTAATGAAACGTACAGGTCGATCTATTTTTATTAAAAGTCATCACCTACAGTAGATACAAAAAAGGGCGTCATAATGACCAGGTTTTCCTTTATATTCGAAAGATAGCTCCTTGCAGTTGTTGGGAGCGATTCATTTGTTGCGTAAAAAACACAACTGCCTAATTTCTGTCTGCGGAAACAAAAAGGGCAAACACCATACCTTGCAGGAATAGAGAAGCTATGCCTCAGCACTGTGACAACCATTCAATCTCAGGACTTCTGTCCAAAACGCCATGCGATGCAAATTTGCGGTTTACTGCGATGGTTAAATGTCATAGGTTTAAACATGCGTTTTACGCGAAAAGCGAGCACAAGAGGCTACAGAAACGAACAGTATATACAGAATGCCTTTTTCTCCGTTCCCCCTCATTCAAGCTTGTCCATTGTTTCTCTTATTACAGCCTGGTTGCGTATCCCGTTTCACTTCATAGTACATCTAATCGCATGGAAGCTTGGGGGGTACCGCGAAAGGATAAAAAAACAAATAACAATTACCTCCAAACATCCAAGGTGCCGCGGCAACCCGTCCGAAAGCCAGCAGCCCCTGCTTTGCTCCTGCGGAAAGGGAGCGAGTGTGGACCGAGAGCCGGCGGTTCGCGCAGATCAACAGCAGCCCTGCCACTCCCTACAGCTACAGAGATGCGAAAAATATGGATGCTGAGCAGAAGCTGAAAGAAAGCGTGTGGCAAGATGCGAACCGCAGTACCGTGTCCAAACAACGGAACTACCGAGTCATCTCACTGATCAAGAATTATGCCCACGATCAGACCTCTTCGGCGCTCCCTATTAATGGCGATAACCTCCACGTCGCCGGCGCTTTTGTCCGGGCGACACGAACAAGATTTTGAGAATAACGCAGCATCAGCAGCGCCTTTAGTAACCCAGCCGCCTCGGTTTTGTGGAGGCGACGGGAGCCCGAATTGTGCGCTCCTGTGCTGTTTCGCAAAAGGAGGGGGGCTTCTGTATTTTTGCCCCTTTCGGCGAAACCCTCCCAGTTAGTTCAGTCACCCGGACTCGTTTCACGTTTTTTTTTTTTTGATTCAGTTGACTGTGTCCCTCCGGCACTGGTGGAGCCAGACAAAAGAGAAAACAAAGTAGAAGGAAGACAAGCGAGGAGGGAGGAAGCGAGGAACTCTGCCAGCTGCTGCAATTCAAAGCGCACACTGCACAATGTGCTCATTTTCTCGTACCCAGAACTCGTGTATAGAAAGGATGGAGATGTGGCGAAAGAGTACAGCTTAACACATAACGGTGTATTGTAGTTCAGAAGTACATTCAGTGTAAGGGTTGAAATGCCCAAAAAAACTCCAGGCCTCTAACTGTTAACTTCATTGAGTTTTAAATGCGCAGAGGGCTTTTGGAATTCCAGCCTGAACGCTGGTGAATGGATACATTTCTATCGCGCTTAGGGTAGTGTAATGAAACCTGTATCATTTTTGATAGGTGACCTACAATACATCGTGTTGATGCCACTTTTGTTTTTTTTTCAAATGATCACCAATCATATACCCGGGCAAATGTTGGCATAGACAGAGGTCACCTCAAGAAGGGTGCAAAGTACGCAGTACACAGGTGACAGAAGAAATAAAAGATTAATACACGCATCGGGTCCCTTTCTTGAATTCTAGGATTCAGGCTACACCCAAGCACTGTAATAACGGCTTCCACATCTTAATTGGGTACACACTGATTTGTCAAATTGTTTTCGTTTTCCGACACTGAAATTAACCTAAGAACGACGACACAAGCATACATCGCTTCTCCGTTTCGTTGTCAAAATCGAACACAATGTATTTGCCCCTCGGAGTCTCGCCAGTTGTATGTATTCTTTATATTCTGTTAAACTGCAGCATGACGCTGACGTGTTAGTGCATGATGGCAAAGTCTCTGCCTCTATCCAAAATGGATCTCTGGATTTCTAAGTGCTCCCAATATCAGTTTCCGTGTGCACTTGCCTCACTTATACAGTATAATCAAAGCAGACAGGAAGCACTAGTATCTGTGGCTAGCTCTGATTTAGAGTAACACCGAAATAACGGAATTATTATTATTATTTTATTATTATCAACATCACTGTTCAAATTATGCACGAAAAGTAAGGCCTTGAAACTTGCAGCAATTGGATTTTCCTACATAATTCAGAGTATTCGGACAGTTCCTCAGATCAGCGCATCACCAGAGCGTGGAAACGCGATTGGTTTAGTGAGGGCGGCCGGTCAGTCTTAAGCGAGGAGAGCGGGATTTATTTTATTCATGAAAAAGTGCGGAAGGGGGTGGGGTGAGAAGAGTGAGGGTTCTCAGGGGGTGAATCAGGCAGAAACAGGAAGTGATCTTTTTTCCCTGGGCTGTGAGCGCACAGCCTGGAGTGCGCTAGATGCCATGATCTGACTTAAGAAACAGATGTTCGCTTTCTGAGGGGAAGCGATTTCCGGTGATGTTAGGTTTGCAGCTCAGAAATGAACCATTTGTAGGTTGAGGCTTCCTTAACTTCCCAACTTTGCAGAACGAGTTTAATGTATATCCGTTTCTGGCTATTTTGTATTTACCCTGAATAGCAGGGTCCCCCAAAACAACACAGAACCGCAGGCAGAGTTTCATCCAAGTGTCTCCTTTATAAAAGTCTCCTTTAGCTCTGCTTGCATGAATGAAGGAAACTGGTGGGAGGGAAATAAAAACAAAAACGATGAGCCACACATTCTTTAGAAATGGCATGCCAGCTGTCACACAAATCTCACAAGTAAATAACTGGATTCATGAAAAAACACTTTTTCAGTCATGTTGACACTTTCTGAGCCCTCAAGATTCAGAAATGGGAAGCTGACAACATACCAGAGACGAATAAATAAATTAGACTTTGACTCTTTGACCATTCCAACAGTAAAGGCAGTACTGTATGTTATACCAGATGGCTAATAGCATTCTCATAAGTTGGGGGTTAACAATCCCTTAGCAGAGCATTCTTCTTAAAAACAAACATATAAAGGGCCCTTTTCATAATAGAGTTTAAAGAGTTCTGAAGAATATGTTATGCAACTCAACCAGGAGATAAAAACAAGTTTCCAAACAGTTTTGTTACCAGAAGAGAAAAATACAAGTTACTGTATTTGCATTTAATCCCACTTATATTATACCTTGGTTAAAGCAAACACAATCAGAGAATTGAACAAGCCCAATCAGTGCAAAAGACCCCAGTGCAAACAAAATAAAAAAGGAAAAAACAACAACAGCATTTTTAATCTTTAGCTGATCTTTCTCTAAAGATTCAGAAATAACATTTCTTCAACTAACTCTGTTAGGACGTCTGACATTGAACTACAGTAGGATGACATTATAGGCAGGATGCAGAAGGAAACGTCTGTGATTCTCCTCCTCCTCTCAGTCCACAAATGTAACAATTAAGGAATGCTTTAAAATCAACAGCACATTCCTTCTCGCTGTAAGCACACGTTTCAAAATCACCGTGAACTGTTTCGCTTGTCGTAATAGGCACGTACTGTATGTGGCATCAAAACCCAAAGTCATTCTGTGTGAAAGGGATGACTAATTCTGCAGTCTCAATAAAGCTATTTTTCCTGTTTGTACTGGGCGTCACTCCATCTCATGGCCTCACTGGCAACTTACAGATCTCAAGGGAAGCAAACAATTTATGTCACTTGTCAAAGAAATGTCAAAGAACTGCTCATCTAAAACTTGGCTGTACTGTGCACAAAGATTGTTTCTCCAGAACTGCTATTATTATGTGGTAGGCTTTTGGTCAGGAGTGTTCAGCCCTGACCCTGGAGTCGCAGTCCAATTAGATTGATGGATTACCTGTTTCTAAAAATTGGAAACACCTGTGAATTACTGGAAATACAGATGATTTAAGCAAAAGACATGTATTCTTTAGGAGAATTCTGTTTATTCCTAGTCCTGTTTGTCTGCAGGCTTTCATTCCAAATCATCTCTTAATGATCTTAATGAGCCAGCGCCTATCCCAGCAAGCAGTGGACCCAGGGTGGGATACACCATGGATGATATGCCAGTCCATTGCAGGAAAGACATGCAAACACAAACACGCACACACTCACACCAGGACCAATCTCCCCACAAGCCAATTAACCTACCAGTATGTCTTTGGACTGTGGGAAGAAACCAGAGCACCTGGAAGAAACCCACACAAACAGAGGGAGATCAAAGAAACTCCACACAGACAACAGATAGCACCCCAGGTCTAAGAATTGAACCCAGGGCCCTCTTAATGATGTAAATTAGCTCATGATTGTCTTAAATGGACAAATTCAACTGCTTCTTCCAGCGTTTTAGACATTAGTTCTTCAAAGAGACAATTACATCCTGCAGACATACCAGCCTTCTGGGACTGGGACTGGGTGCCTTTAGTATAAACGTAAACATGACTATTGCAGCCAGTAACCCAGTACCTTCAAATGAGTAGTATTCATCTTTTCAGTCTTCCTTGCTTAAGAGAAGTAGGGAGTTCAAAATGGAAGTTTTGAAAGGGGTTAAAAACACAAGGAGGCAGAACTAAAATTAGGACAGAACAACAAAGTGCACCAATCTGACCAGTCTGTTTCGAATAATGTTTGACCCAGGATACAGCCCACTTCTCCACAGCTTTCATCGATCCATTTTCTAACTGCTTCTTCCAGGTCGAGGTCACTGGGGAGCAGGCACAAGGCAGGGTACGACCTGGATGGGACACCAGTCCATCACAGGGCACACACAGACACAAGCACACTCTCACCAGGGCCAATCTCCCCAAATCCATGACTAGCAACGTATTTCAAATTCAATGGTATTGGATGATTTTATGGTACAGCTGTTTCTGTAGCTGATGGCTACTTTAATAGATCATTGAAATCCATAGTGATGTAGTTCCAGTCATAAACTAAAGAAGCAGCCAAAAAATAAATGACTCTTTTTAACTCTTTCAATGCAGTTCTACAAGCGACACGCGCCTCCTCTCGCTCAAATGTGGTAATAGAGCCCCATCTAGTGGGGATAGTTTGGAACTGCATGAATCCGTGCGGCTTTCAAAAGCAGACTGGATAATACAAGGTATGAGTTTTAGGTATCAAAACGACGGCCATCCTGTCTGCATTGCAGAAAATATCATTAAAAAGTTTGTAACTTAGAGTTTTTCACTAATGAGGATAGTGGACAATATATGTATTATAAACAAAAATATGCTGGGAAATCAGAGCAACTTTTAGGATGGAAATTAAGCAGTGCTTTTTAAGACTATCAGGGCTTTCAGGCTTTAGGCTATTAGCGACATTCAATCTCATCAGTCAAGTATGCAATCAATCATTGAATAAACAGAAAACCCTTATCCAATAGGCATTTTCCCGGTGTCCCATTAGGGCTGCGAAATTAGTTAGGCAGTACTGTACGTCATGAAAAACGGGAGTTTGTACACCAGATTTTCATTACAACCCATAAGAACTGATATTTGTTTAGATATGAAGTTAAATTAATAGAAAACTGCAATCCAGACAAACAACAATCACAGTTTAATCAACAGGGGATCGTGCAAACCACAAAATCACAACAAGGCAACGTGAGTTTAGGAAAAGCCTGTAAACCATTAGCTGGTCGCAGTACACGTTGTGGAATTAGGGACCCTACAGAATGAAACCCTTTTTAAAGCACAACGATAACAGGTTTTTAAAAATATACACTTAAGTATTTAAATCCTAAAAGAAGTAGAGCTACTATTTATATTTAATTGCATATGCATTATGCCTTACAATTCCAATTCAACATAACAATCAAAAGAGACTTTATTGATTAAATTGTTGGATATCTTCGAAAGAACAGTGTCTTGGGCAGAAAAAGACAGAAGGTACAGTATTTAAACGTTTAAGACAATCGCGTGATAGTTTTCTTAAAGCAAATGCCCAGCCTATTGGCACATCATGAATAAATGCATAGAGGGTCTTCTTCAAGACACAAAAAGCAGTTTTTAAACACCGTTTCTTAAATGCCTAAAAACACTTCCGCTCGGCACTCCCGGCATGCATTATGTTAAATATAGAGAAAAAAGAGACCTAAGCTTTTGTCATGGTGTGCGGTTTAACCAGATTGCAACCAATTAAGTCCAATTTCAAAAAGTATAATTAACACCTGAATTGAAGACGTCAAGGTAAAATAAATAAAAAAAACAAGACAAGAACGGACGCCGAGAGTTTAACTTAAATGCGACGTTTTAAGCACAGGGGATGAAAAATGCTTAAATCTCACAGCGCCGCTGCCATTTCAGTGCTAGAATCGGCTAGAAGCTTCTAGCAGAGAAACGCCTGTCACTACCGCGGTACGCTTGTTTATAAAATCTACAATTATTTTGGAAATACATTAATCTCTTGTATTGCTTTTAGTACCACACTCAGTTTAATGACGGAATTAGCAAAGGATCTGTTTTCTTAACGGGGTCGTTTTGAGTCTGTGCCACCGCCAACTTCGCGCTACAACCTCATCAGACTGTTTCTCGATTCAGCGCCGATTTGCAGGGCTGATCTGGAGTGACTGCAGTTAGACGTACACCACGTGTAATTACAAATGCATGGGATTTGTCAATAAATAAGAGAAAATCTTGACGACACATTATAAACAAATGGCGCTGAATTTAGTCAATTGACTTTAAAAAAATGCGCATCTTTTTTTGGGTGGATAGTGCAGGTACAATAGAAAACCAAAAGAAACCTATAGAAACTAGATTCCACCTGAGGTCTCGAGTGTAAGCAACCATACTAATTGGATACAATGCGCAATCTAATAATTTGTAGCATTCACATAAAACTGATAAAATAGGAAGTCGCACAAACGCATGCAGTGACCAGCAAAGTTCTGTTTCCTCCCCCACTCTTTTTCTTAACGCCGGGTTGTTCTCATTTGGATTTTACCAGCATGTTATTTGGGATTTCTACAGGTAAAACCTTCGGTTTAGTTTAAACAGGACTAATACAGCTTCAAGGATTATTTTTATGTGTCTGATAGCAGTGATGACGGTAAGCACGCGTTTCTTCAGTTTCATTCGCTTTGTTACACCATAAGATTAGGCTGGACTGCTACTCAGCTGGCCCAGCGGTCAGCATTAGCTGTCTGTGTGGAGTTTGTTTGTTGTTCACGTGGTTTTCCCCCCTCAGTGCAAATACATACTGGTAGGCTTATTGGCTTATGAGAAAGTTGGTCCTGGTGTGGGTGTGTGCGTGTCTGTGTTTGTGTGTTTGTGCCCTGTGACGCAGGCTGTATCCTAACTTGTGCCCGTTGCTTGCTGGGATAGGCCCCGGCTTCCCTGTTACCTTGAATTGGATGAAGTTGTTAGGAGATGGGTGGATGCTACTCAGCTCTTATTTATTCAAACAGTGTAATATTTCTATGTACTGAATGTTTGAACATACCCTTGGAAATGGGCACAATTTGGTGATCCTGAGATTCAGGGATTGAAGGGGAATCTGAGGCTCATTGAGTCACACTTGGACTATAGGAGTCTAAGTTACTGAAGTTAGTTTGACTCATATAATAGACATGGGTCTGGTTTGACCAGGTTTGACATTTTGGATTGGTACTTACCAACTGTGAATGAGTGTGCCAACATTTTATTTTTAAAAAAAGATCCATGAAAATCCAAAATCAATGAAAAACGTCTGGAATATTTCTTATCAAGCCATTTTATTTCAATGTCTCCGTCTTCCTCGTTTCCAGCACAGCCCGTCTCCAGGTCATCTGTTTAGCAGCTCTGACCACTATGGCCCAAGAGGGGCCCAACATCCACTTCCGTTTCATGAATTACGGCAACTGGATGCTGCAGAAGATGAACATGCTGCGGGAACACGGACATTTCTGTGATGTAACGGTCCACGTCAACAAGACCGCCTTCCAGGGCCACAAGGTGATTTTGGCAGCCTCTTCCTCTTTCTTGAGGGACCAGTTCCTGCTGAAGGACTCCAAGGAGGCCTCTGTGTCTCTGGGCCAGAGGCCAGAAGTAGCTTTGGATCTCCTGCAGTCTTGCTATACCGGAGTTCTGGAGTTCCCTCTGAAAGACCTCATCAGCTACCTCATGGCAGCCAGTTACCTGCAGATGGGGCATGTTGTGGAGAAGTGCCAACAGGCAGCAGGCCAGTACCTGGAGCCCAACTTCTCTGTAAGTGGCATCAGCCTTGCCCAGGAGAAACTTCCCTTCTGGGATCCGGAGCCACACTCCCCAAGAGAGGGTGCCAGTCAGGAAGTGGAAGAAACCAGTGCCAGGAAGGACACAGGAAGCAGAGCTAACCAAGTTCCACACATTTCTCTGGAACCGTCTAAGTTGGACTTAAAGGCTGAATCCTCTGAGGGTCAGGATGACGAGTGTGCAGTGGTTTCCCTGGAACCTCCCCGGGTCTACAGCCAGGTGGATTCCGGACACCGCTTGGCCGAGTGGGTCAATGCAGAAGACCTGGTCGTATTGAATAGTGAGCTGGAGTTTCAGGGCTTGCAGCCTCCCTCTGCCTTTTCTGCCCAGGATGGGAGCTCTTCCAAGGCTGAGGGGTCCAGGGCAGCTCCCCAGGAAGAGCTGTTTAAAGGGCCCTACCAGTGTCGAGTCTGCTCTCGTGTCTTCCGCTTGCTGGAGAAATATGTAGTCCACATGAGGGGGCACAAAGTGTGTCTGTGCCTGCGCTGTGGGAAAACCTTCTCCCAGAAAGTGAACCTGAAGCGTCACGTGCGCAGCCACATGGGCTTCAAGCCCTATCGATGCCACCTGTGCCAGAAGGTTTTTTCCCAGAAGGTCTCCCTCCAGGACCACATGAATCTGCACAGTGGCGCCCGGCCGCATCACTGCGGATACTGCGAGATGCAGTTCACCCATAAGCCAGCTCTGCGGCGCCACCTGCGGGAATTCCATGGGAAGACCGGCTCGGACAGCTTCAACGATGAGATTGAAGAGATTGTGCTCTGATTAGACTGGAACTCGGTGGAGGTGCCACATGCTCCCTTAACATTCGCGCTGAACTCTTTTACCAGAGAAATCGGTGCTAATAAGACACTAAAAGAACAACCAAACATTTAGTACAAACATGTATAGCTACAGAGTTGTAGTCTTTGTTCAATCGTTATGCATGATTTATGTAAAAGTGTTTTTGTTTCTGAGAAAGTGTAAATCAGGGTTCGGTAGGTCTTGCTCTGGTGAACGCAAATACAGTTAGTCTTAAATGTCCTTCTCTTTAGATATTGGGAGTACCTGTTACTGATCAATAAGTAATCAACTCATTAAAAAGTAATCTGGTTTATCTGTTCCTTGAGGGCTTAAGGATTTTTTTTTTACGTTAGTAAAAGTCACCTGCTTAAGTGATCACAGTACAGCTGTTGTGCTGAACTGATCACAATTAAATTGTTTCATCCTTAGAAACTGGTGGTTTAATGGTGTCCAAAAAAACCTGCTGGACAGGGTATTCGAAGAAATCGGAGTTCAGATCTCCAGTAGCTGAAAACCTTTGACCTTTAGATTGGTCCACCTAAGCTAAATATGAACTCTGTTAGGTCATTAAGAAAGAAGGTGGGAAACAACATCTCAGACATTTAAACCCTCTGGAACTGGAGCTGTGTGCCACTGGTGTATGTAAACACACACATAACACACACATTTTACAGCTGAAATATAAAGTAAAGCATAAGAAAATGTTCGTCAAACTGTTTTGTGCAATGAAAAGACATACCAGTAGGGTTTTGTGTCACTTTGAAAGAATTCTGCAGTGCCTTTGTTCAAATAAACAGTAAATTTCAATTGAATTTAGTTTTTACCATGTTAATTTAGAGGAACTTGATTAAACACATGGGAGTCAGTAAACTGCATACAGTACGTTGAATAAAGAAGAAAAAGTGTCCTTATATAGGGTGGCATGCTAGTTTGCCTTGCAGTGCCTCAAAGCACTGGGGTCCAGGGTTCAATTCATAGGGTTCTGTCTGCATGGAGTTTTTATGTTCTCCCTGTGTTTGCATGGATCCAAAGACATACTGGTTGGTTAATTGTATTCTGTAAAATTGTCCCCGTTGTGAGTGTGAGTTTTGTGTGTGTCCTAAGATGTATCCATGCTTAGTGCCCGTTGCTCGTCTGGCACCAACATGACCCTGTACTGGATGAACCTGTTCAGAAAATGGATGGATAGATATTCTAAAACAGGTTTTGAGATGTTAACAAACTATAGAGGATTCCTGCTTCAGGATGGCTGTTGGACACACACAGCCACACAGCTTTAAAACAGAATCCCTTGGGATAGAAATGGGTTTTATAATACAATTAACCATAAATGCAAATAATTGGAGTGGTACTGACTTCTGGGTGCATTTACCTATGATTTGGTATATACCCGTACATGTTAGACCTTAGCACGGTTTTTGCAATGTTATCTGATCAGAAGTATAGGAATTACCCTTCAAGGCAATTGCAAGCAAATGTCAGATCTGTGACCCTGTAAAGGCCTCTACTCATTTGTAAAGCTGGGATGTCTACTGCAACTGTGGAGCATCTTGGCTTAGTCTGAACATCAACACTGCATTCTAACAAAAGCTAATAAACAAAAGCTGACACACTAGATTACCGAGTTTAGCACATGAATGTGGTGCTTGTGCACTTGAAAATTGTTTTGCCTGCCACAACTCTTTTATCAGAAAGAAGTCTTCTTTTTCCACTGGAGGGCAGCATTGCATCATTGGATAACAGCTGTATTTCACACTGTTGAGTTCTACCAACAGTATTCAGGACAGGTAAAAAGAACATCACCATTCATGTTGCATTTAATACACATCAAACAGCATTTTGCTCTCAGATTTCATTTTTTTTCATCTATTGTATGGAATTTACTGCCTGTTACATTGCTACTGTTTATTTCCTCACAGTACTGCAATAATCACCTGGATATTTTAAAAGAAGACTATTCCATATTGTAAGTACAGTATGTTATAAAAATGTTGGGGGTATTGACTTCGTACTCCTTCACTCTACAAAGAAGTAATAATACCCAAAAAAACCTTTCCTCACCTAACAGATGTTATCTTCAAAGAGAAGACAAATTGACTATACATAGTGCAATAAAACAAAAATGGACCTAAATAGCACAAATATGCCAACAGTATGTATGGAACGCCCCAGCACAGAAAATGCATGGGTTCCATCTTCTAAAAATATAACTAAATATATGAAAAATGGGAAAGAGTTTTCTTTTTTGTCTTTTTCCTTTTAGGAACAGTTTGTATTTGTAGTTTTTTATCAATAGTTTACTATAATTTAATTCACCAAGGTATGCCTCAGTTTTAAAGGTTATATTGGTCTTGAATGCACAATGTTCAATATATATGAGATCCGAAAGGAAAACGAACATTTATTACACTAAGGCTAATATATAGTATTTGCATTCAAAGCTTTTTCTGGCAAAGCTGACAATTATAACAATTACAATGTATCTTGTTTTTACCAGTGGAGAGAGCTCTTGCTCTCCTGAAATTTTATTTTGTCTTAGAAATGAGCAGATAAAAATGAGCAAGGGTTTTTTTTAGCAGACATCTTTCTCATAATTGTACTCTTTTAAATAAAATACCAAATCGAAAACCAATTCGTTTTTCTTTGATTGCCATCGTATATTTTTTAGACTATGAAAACAATTGACAAATTTGCAGCACCACACAACCATTTAACTCATTAGCATGCATAATGCAAAATTCTTAAACCTGCCAGCTCTCTCAATACAATTAAATTACTGACAGACACATTTCTAAGGAGAATGAAGCAATCAACAGTCATTTGTTGAAACACATAACACATTTCTAGATATTCAACATCTCTTGTCAATAAACATTCTCCATCTGGGAATTAAAGGTTCTTGATAAAAGGTAAGATTGCTTTTACCTTTGTGGGTACTGCCAAATCCATCACAGTTAACTGGTGATTTGATTACGTATACATATCATACTGGAAACAGGAAAATACAACTAACGACACTTAGAAAAACCAGAAAGTATCCTGCTTTGCATCTGTTATTTGTTGGGATTTGCTTTGGCTCAATCACGACTATACTGTATATAGTTAGAAAAAGGATGGGTGGATTCTCGTACAAAGGCATTCATTACTACTTTATGCTGCATGGCCTTGACTTGTTTTGTACCTGTACTTCTTTATTTTTTTGTCTCCAATGTTTTCTTTAGAAGGAATTGAAGGGATTGGAGTCTGTGCGTCCTGTCCAGGGTGTCCTCTGTCATTCACCACCGTTAGCTGCTAGTCAGAACCGCGAGACCAGGGCTTAGATCATTTTGGCTTGCCAGGATAGGCTCTGGCTCCCCAGCGACCCTGAACTGGAAGGAATAGTTAGAAAATGGCTGGATGGATTGAAAAGCTTAGTGTGGGGGCCATTTTACTAATTACAGTTCCGGCCAGAACTAACATTCACGTGTGAGACAACTAGGTCAACATCAATGAAGATTAGGACATGTTCCGAGGAGATATTTACACATTGTCGGCTTACAGTGTCTAACATTCCCGGTCTTAGCTACTACTGAATGAATCAAATTCAGAATGCATTTGAATGAGAAACAATGAAAATGCTAAGTAATTGTGATAACAATGTCTTAAGGTAAATTAAAATCTTTGGTAGGAGTGTATAATGTCACATATTAATGTGTTAGTGTATACAGTATCATATTGTATGGAATTCTGAATCCTCACTTCAAAGTGATACCGTTTGATATTCAAAGAGTGTTCAGTCTTACATTGTTCTCTTGTACTCCTGAAGTGAATAACTATTGTAAAAACGTACTAGTGGCTGAGGTTGGGGGGACGGGGGGGTAATTTTGGGTTGCAGATTTTGTTGTAAGTGGCTTGCTGGGAATACTGTAGATGCAATTTAAATATACAATGTTTAAACACACAGGAGAATCACAGGTCACAGGTACTTATTTTAATTTTATTTCCATTAAGTTTTGAATCAGATCCCTCATCCCACACACATTTTTTGGCTTGTTTTGTTGTCTTATCACGTTGTGTCAGGTGCGTACATCTTTCGTGAAAAAAAAAACGTATTCTGTGTGCGCGGAAACTTAGCAAGTAATTATTCATCCTCTTTAATGAGATCCTAATAGACTTTATCTTATTAGAAAACATCTATTCTGTTTGTTGTCTGTAATTAAAATGAAAAGCAGGGATTGTGGTAAATTCACATCAATGAAACAGCCAGCCTGAGCAACAGCCCCAGGGCAAAATTCTGCAAAAAACATGCAGCTCTGAGTCTAGTTTGAAGAATTTTCCCCTCATAATAAAAGAATCCTATATTATCTGCTGTTCTGGGAAAGTATTGATTTTCCATTAAAAATCAATGAACACAAATATTTGTTTTTAATAGTGCACGGTTCATGAGCTTATTAAATCGTTAAAATGTATTGGGATTCAACACCTACAGAATGCACATTCCAGCAATAACTGTGTACAATGGAGTGCCTAAACTCCACTTGATATGTTAATTCTAAGTTAAAAGCAATATGTACTGTAGACTCCTCTAGGCTGGCATCCAGTCCAGGGTGTATCTCTCCCGGTGGTCTTTATCTGCCCATTCGGGTCACTGTGAGCTTATATTGGACTAAGCAGTTATGGAAAGTGAATACATGGACTGGATAGTCCATCCCAGAGTCCCAGTGAGGATTACTGAAGATGTGTATTATTCATGTAATTTGAATAGACGGCATAAACCCACTCTTTCTGGACTTAGTAGTCTTTAGCTATTGATGTCTGTCGAGAGCGCTGATAGGAGAGCATTTGTACCACAAAGTCTTGTTTGAACTCCTAGTAGCGTCAAGATCTGAAGACCAGCTCTGTGAGCAGGATCCTGTCTTTGGATTCCACTGCCTTGCACACAGTGGTTGTGTCATATTTGCATTGGTAGGCAGTGCCACGCAGCCCCACTGCATGACTAATCATGCAGTCTGTTCACAGATCTCTTGAGCTAATTGTGCATCTTAGAACAGCCGGCACAGAAAATAGATGGTGGGAGAGGGAATCAAAGTCAGCCTATTGATGCCACTCAAAGCTCATTGATTTGGCCACTTAAAGATGCACAATCACCAGGCTGTCTGTACTGATTGTTAAGGTGTCCCTTTTCCTCTTGTCAGATGGCTGTTGGTGTCAAGGTTGGTAAATCATGCCTGCCTGATTTCAAACACCGCCTTTTAAAGATCTGAGCAGACATGCACAAGACAGTTATTCCTCTTGAGAGACTATGGTGATTATGTCACAGCTTATCATCGAGGCAAACCTTTTCTGGCTTGCTAGGGATACTTACACTTTAGATTTTTATTTTTGAATTCTTTTTGCAAACAATGGTATCTCATGCCATGTTGTACAGAGGAGAGACAGTGTTTCTTCTGCTCAGTGTCTGGACCTAATTTGTTGAAGGAATGTCACACTTGCTTCAATGCTGCCTTTTCCATGCAATTAGCTCGGCCTTCTTGTTGCTTTCATTCAAATTGCTGTCGATCCCTGGCATTCAAAAATTGCACTCACAGATTCAGATGGCAAGCAGCCAGTGTCTTGGTATAGACATTAGCTGTTTTTGTGCTTTAATGGACAATATACTCCCCCCGAAATTAAACCACTTTGATGAACAGGGAGTTCTCCGTGTGTGCCAAGGGTTTTTTTTCAGATACTGTACAAACAGTATACTGAAGTTCCCTTCTTAAGAGGCATGAGCATTTTCAATGTTTTAACTCTCTCACATCATTCTTCTTTCTCATCTGCAAGACTTT